TCCTTTTAGCTTGCAAGTATATCGTAGGCATTTTGTGAGTTGTGACTATGACTCCTATGGCACATTCTGACTTCAATTGTAACTTTAGGCCTTGTATCATGCTCTTCCAATGAAATATGTGTCAGTTGCAAAGCTTCAGAACAAGCTGGACGGACAGGCAAATCAGATTGTTGTTCGAAGGCTTATAAATAAGATGACTCGAGATGGTTTTCTTGAAGCCAAAGGCAACCGTAGGCTAGGTACGTGTTGCAACCTTAGTAAGTATGTGCTCCACATGATTTTGGAGGGTAAGTCCTGGTAAATTTACTTTGTTATTGATCCATTGTTAATGCAGGCAAGCGTGTCATCCGCTCCATTCTGACAGAGAAAAAGCTCCTGGAAGTCAAGCAAGCTCTAAACAAAAACGCTATGGTGAGGTTATAATTTTTGTTACTTGTGCAACACTGCATCTTCTGCATAATATTTAATTATTCTCTAACTCTTCTTAATGAAGCAGGATGGCGATACCAATGAACCACATAACAAGACTAATAATCCGGAATTGCAAACAACAGGTACTCGATTGAAGCTATGTCTTATTATTAAGAGTTTAGCCCAGGATGTGAGTTTTGAGCTGTGGGCATATTTCTCCGTTTATTAGGAAGCAACCACAGGGATATGTCTACATGCGGTGTCCTCCACTCTATTGGTTCAGATCTCACACGCACGAGGGGACGATCTGAAATAAACCAAAATGGTTCAATCAGGAGTGAACAGACAATGTCGAAGATCAGGGATAATGGAAACACCCCCGTCAGCAGGGCAGAGGCTAGTGCCAAATTGAAATCACTCTTGTTTCCTACTTCATAGCAAGTTTTTACTCTGATTTGACAAGTATTTTGCAGAGTGACTAACATGTTTCCCTTGTAATTATCAGCCGGTTGCTTCAAGAGAGAGCTTTGTCCCAGGAGGTGAGAAAATCAGAGTAAATGAAAACTGCGACGAGGTAGACACTGTCGTGTATAGTAGACAATCCCACAATAAGCGAGGCAGGAAAGCAAGCATGGTATGCTTTAAACCATTGTAGTTTACTGACTGCATGAAGCTCCAGCAGTGGTTAAAAGTCTACCCTTCCTCATACGATGGCTCTTGCCTTTTTCTTTGGCAGGTGAAGGAGCCTATACTTCAGTACACGAAGCGCCAGAAATCTCAAGCTGTTTAAAAGGCATGGGGAATGTGATGCTAATGCGTGAACCAAACTCAAAATTGCTTGGTGAATTTCCTTAATAAGTAAATCATAGACAAGTTACTTCCTTTTTTCAGACAAGTAGTAATTTCATTATCCAAGAATTAGTAAGTCACTGCTCCCAAATGACAGTTACAGACAGCATCAAATGCAACAATTCGGGAAATTACAATGCAAACATATAGTTACTTAGACACCATCTCTCACATAGCTCCTTATTAATATGATGGAAAGCACCATTCTTTAATCCGGCCAATCTCATTCTGACAACATCCTTGATCTGCCTTAAAACCTGCTCTCGTCAGCCTTTTATTCCTTTCCTGCCAGATCAGATAAATGTAAGCCCCCAAGTCAAACGCAATAGAGCGGATACCAGTGCCTATACTCGAAGTCTGCTAACAACCCATCGAAGTTCATCTTCTCAATCAGCAACTTCCTTATGCAGGTTGCAAAGATGCAGAATTGAACTTGCTGCCATACAAACTTAGAATATCTGCAACTGAAGAAAATGTGATTCCCATTCTCCATCTCCTGCCTGCATAAAACACAATCCCCATCAGTAGAAATCCCCCAAGAGATCAGCATAACCTTAGTAGGAAGCCTATTAAGGATTGCCATCCACGCAATGATATCATGCTTGGGAAAATGAAGTTTGCACTTGATAAGCCTGTACCAGCAATCATCATCTGCTTAGGCCGTGGTTCATCCCAGACGATGACAGTGGAGTAGCCAGAGCCATAAGTGGTTCAAACTATTCCATTCTGTCTGTTGCAAGAATCTGGAAGCAATGTTCCTCATCTGAAGTAGCTTTTTCATGCACCAGCTACTGCTTTGAGTAATTGGATGATAGGAAAAAAATACCATAAGAGGCAGCAATATCCAGAAGCCTGGATAAAATATTCATGGTTTACTGCTTCCTTTTTCTACCGGTGACTATGCTCAGAGAACACGTTAATAACCATAATCCCTAGAGTTTAGTTTGTTTGATGTAGAAATTGGTGAATGTTCCATTTTTGGTACTTCATCTAATGGGATGAGATTCTTATAACGTGGTTCACGGTAAAACAAGGTACAAATATCGGCTTGATTTCAATTTTTAACTGCCAAAATGATGTGTTACTAGGTGAGAATTTACTTATGCACCTTCTAGTACTATCTTTTGTGATTTATAGTAATTGGTTGGAGATGGAAAACATTTTTCACCCCAAAAAGAGATTTATTTGCAAATACAGCAGGGCTTAATGTGAAGGAAGTCAATGGCATGGCCATGTGGGTCTTAATAATACAAGACTGGACCAAGGCAGTGGCTCAGGAATGAAGAAATGACATTCTGTTTAATGTCGACTAGTGGGAAAATCGAGGACGATAACCCCTGCAACTAGATTGGAAGCTTTTCCAAATTGGATCCACCACTGACGAGTCTAAAACTTCTTAATGACCTAACTTTGAGATTTCATGAAACCTTAAATGCCTGGAACTGAACAACTAAAAGCTCCTCAGCCCTGATTAGAGGATTAATTTAAAAAAGGCAATTTAGGCTAACTTTTCTTTCAATCACGTAATCAAAATGTTGATGCAGACTTAGATTATTCTAACATATCTCATTGCCACCACTCTCCACCCACCAAATTATAATGCTTTGAAAAAAAAAAAAAAAAGGCCAAGAAAAGAGAAGACGTCATCTCCAATGGTTTTCATTTGAATGGATTAATCGTAGACCTTGGTCCAGGCCTTCCAGCCCACAGCTTAGAGAAACTGCCTTTTCCGTCTACGATCCAACAGATGCTTCAATTCAGGGAAAAAAAAAGTTCAGAGAACGCAATCAGGAGAGAGAGTGGACCCCACCAGCTTGCAATGTGGTAGAGAGATATGGGTCCCAGATCGATATTTTCCATCTCCAACATGTCACCTCTCTCCACTTGTCCATCTAGAAACCTCCATTTTGTCCCAGAAAACTCCTCATATAAGGTCCACTGTCACTTCTTCCATCCTTTGATCCAATATCAACCGTTGATCTTGTCAACGGTCCTGATTAATATTTGATATTTGTACGTTGATCTATAAATTAAACCTCAATTCCGTCTTGACCGTAGATTTAGTATCATAACTTTGTGTATTTTCTCTCAGAAAACTGAAAAAAAAAAAAAAGCAAACAAATTCAATCAATAATCTGTGATCAAAAGGCTGGCAATAATGGTGAAGGTATTTCCATATTTTTGCTTCTTGTTCTTCTTCTTTTTTCTGCGTTGAAAAAGTTATACAGCTTTTTTTTTTTTTTGTATTTTTAAAATTTTAGGAGGTAGAGTCTGAGAACAAGAATCAAGGCCTGAAACACCTGGCCTTCGTGAGGGTGGCTGCGATCCACGCGCTGGTTTGCGTGTCGAATCTTTACGAGTACGGCAAACAGAACTCCGGGCCGTTAAGATCCGCTGTTGGGACCGTCGAGAATGCCGTTACTACCGTCGTTGGTCCCGTCTACGAAAAGTTTAAGGACGTTCCAGATCATCTTCTTGGCTTTCTTGATAAGAAGGTTACGGTTTTTATAATTTCCTGTTTGCATAAAAAGTTACTGAAAATCACTTTTTCGCTTGTTTAGTTTCATTAATTGATTCTGCTATTTTCTGAATTAAAATTTTATAATTCTGCTTTTTTAGAAATCCTCTCGTTTCCTTCAATTTTCTGATGTAACGATTAATTGAAATAACTACAGGTAGATGAGGCTTCACACAAATTTTATGAGCATGCACCACCAGCAGCTAAGCTTGTGGTAAGCCAAGCCCAAGATTTGGTTCACAAGGCAGCACAAAAGGCTCAGAAACTAGTAGACGAGGCTCGAACCAATGGACTGCGAGGAGCTTTGCATTACGCTGCGGCAGAGTACAAGCAGTTTCTTCTCGTGAACTCAACCAAGTTGTGGGTTAAACTGAATAACACCTCAGCTTTCCACTCGGTGGCAGAGAAGGTTGTTCCTACAGCGGCTAATTTGTCTGAGAAGTATAACTATGTAGTTAAAGACAGGAGTGGGAAAGGTTATCCTGTCTTTGGGTATTTGCCTCTAATTCCAGTTGACGAGTTAAGCAAGGCAGTTAAGAAAGCTGAAGCAAAGGACAAAGGGCATGTAGATGCTTATACTTCATAAATCAGATTCAGATTCTGATTAGGGAGTTTTATTTCTTTTATCTTATTTGAAATGTGCTTTTATTTTGTGCGTCTCTGGTCTGGCGAAATCTAAGTGATTTGTGGGTGTTTCTGTTGTTTCGGGCATGTAGAGGCAATGTGGATGATATAAATAGTCAGCCATTGTAAATTGTATGCATATGTTAACTCTTTGCAACATGAATGAAAGATGAATTGTTCATTTAAGTGCTGCCAATTTGATGTTTACTCTTTTGGTTATATGGCAGAGCTGGGTCCGTTTAGAAATTGGATTACCTAATATTGCTTCAAGTTTCTTTTGAAACGCTCATATAGCTGGTGACTCAAGTAGGGCATTCTTTTTGAGGCATTATATTATTGGATGCAACCTACTAGAGGCACCAAACCCAACAGAAAATATGGATTCCGAGTTCAGATACCATCCCAACGAGTTACCAGTGCTTTGTGGTCATTTTTATGAACTTAAAACTGTACATACAGCGACCCGACTCTCAGAAGCTCGCTGCTTGTCCTGCCATCCCTGCGTACCCTTGATTTTAACAATTAACCACCCTCTTCAAAGAAGAAAAAGAGCAACAAAAGGTAGAAGAATCAGACATGGTGGCTACCGCAGCAAAAATTCACCAAAGTAAAGCATTGTTTATCTTGGCCTTTGAAATACATGGACAATTTTTTTCAACCATAAAGCAGTCTCAAAACATCGAAGCAATAATAAAAACAAGCTGACACTTTTTGTAGCACAAAAGAAAGAAAATTCAAACAAACAGAAAATGCTTAAATGTCCACTCGCCATCTGCAGGCCAAGCTCCAAATCATCTTCCAATGGTTTCTGATTCCTGCATCGATGAAAACATAATAAAGTAATTACTTCATGATTGGATATAGTAATTTTGTATAGTTACTTTTCATTTAGTGTCTCCGTTGATCTGGAACCACTCTTAACACAAAAGTCCACCACTGTTACTGTATAAGAGGTCAAAAAAATAGAACTAAGGAATTCCTTTTGCAACCATTAGCTTGCATCACTCTTGTCAAATAATTGAGAATGAAATCTAAAACTTCTGTGCAAGCAACACATTCTAATTCACAGTTTTCAAAGTAATGGCAAATGGTTAGCATAGAGAAAAAAAATTATCATTCGTTGAGAATGTTTTCCAGCAGATTCAGGTTAAAGTTGGATGCAATTTTATCCTCGTCCTCTCATATAAAGAGCAAAGGGCAATCATTGTAATTGAACCAATTACGTGATATTTCCTTCATTCCAAAATTCTAAGCATCATAGAGAGTGCAAATAAGTTGGGAAGGGAAAGTCAGGGCACTGATTAGCAAGTCTACAATCATGATTATTAATCCATTAAAAACCCAGCGCAAAGTATTGCAATGTAGAGAAAGAGCACTTAGAAAACAATAATTAAGTTCTATCACCGTGTGGAAACCAGATTTGCTAAAACTGTCTATTATATTTCAACAAGTCTGGAATTTTGGCTCAAACCAAACACAGTTTTGACCTAAGCCAAATCAGGAAAACTTTCTCCTTTCCCAACGATCCAAAATCTAAATCGGTCCTAAAATTTCAATGTCATGATTAGAGCATTAAAATCCCAGCCTTCATATAGAAATACAAATACCATTCTCAATCTCCAATGCTCATAAACAATTTATTGCAAAAAAAAAAAAAACTAGCCATAAACAAAATCCAACAGTTAGTGAATAATCAAACCTCAGTTTCGTTTGGAGGAGGAGGCATAGCTGTCTTCAAGAAGGTCATCATAAGGATCCCTGCGGCCGGGAGCTTGGCTAATCTGAGCATCCCTAAAGAGCTGGGAATTGTGGCGTTCAAAAGTCCAAAATCCATAAGGTCGCAGAGGATAACTCCACATCTCTTTGGTTTTTTGGCATCGATCCTTCCTCATGTAAAGGCGCTCCCTAAATTTTTTATCCCTCTCCTTTGGGTCCTCCATCATCCTCAATATCAAATTCTCTGCAAATTCCATTATGAAACCCATTTTCTTCTCTTCTCTTCTCTTCAAGAGTTGAAACCCTAAGTTTAACAAACAACTCAATAAAAAATATACATCAAAGCTGAAGCCAAAAAAAAATCATTGTCTAATTTAATACTGTAATTAATCAAATCGAATGGCTACATGATGATTTAAAAAATGAGTAAGAGAGATAACCTGTTTGGAGATCAACAGGCCAGTAGCAGTCTTCAATTTGCCAAGGAAAGACAAAGAATGGCCAATGTATGATACGCGCAGAGAAATTAGAGAGCCAAACTTGGGCTAAGCCTCAAGAACTCTGGATGTTGTTGTGACTAATCAGGCCTAGATTCTTCAGATAGTGGGAGGTTTTGATTGGATCAGATTAAAAGGTTGAACTAAGCTCTCTGGACCTTAACATGGGCTAAGGCCCCAAAATAGTACATTGTTTATAATATTCAGGCCCTTTCAACTTTTAGTGTTAACATAAAAAAAATAGCCCTTAAACTTTTTTTTTTCTATTTTGATTTTTTATTATTAATATATAATAAATTAATAACGTGTCTAAAATAATTTGCTATCGAGAGTAAGTCCTCGTTTGAATTCCACCGCAATTGTGATATGATTAATTTTATCATACTTTTAGTTGAATCAAAATGCTAACTTTAATGAAATCAAGTTAATATAAATTTGTCATTAAATTTTTTTTCAATTATAACTATAATAACTTTTTTTTTTTCAATTACAATTACAATAAATTTTATTATTGTTTTCAATTTCATCGTCCATCCAAATGGAGCTTAAGTCTCAATGGCTTAAAGATGTAATGTGCCAAAGCATTTGCAAACTAAAGCGTACAGGTTTCACTCACTTCCGCTAGGGGATGAAAGACAAGAATTTACCTTTTTTTCAGCATTACAATGAATTTACATTGGATATCTTCTAATCATGTACATAAACATATACAGAAAATTCGCCATATAGATAACACTTATCATAGTTGGAGTGAAGAAGGGAACAGCAATAATCACAGAAATAACAAGGATTCTCCCTCGCCCACTTTTCATCTGCACTTACTTTTGTACCTCATTAATCTTACATACATTTGCATTTCTCAACACGTGGTTTTAGTTGAAAGATGATTATTGGATAAGCTGCTCCATTTTGTACATCCTCTGGATGAATCAACCATGTCCCTAATCACGGTTGTTTGTTTGCAGTCACCCTGCACCAGGTGATTTCATCATACAAAATATTAATACAAAAATTGAATTGAATAGAAGATGGTGCATAACAAGCATCATACAGCATTATCATTACCTCATGCCAAAATGAAATTCATGATTCTCAGAAAAAACAAATTGATAAGATGGATACCTCTACTTTTGAAGTTATTGTAAAATGAGGGAGCATAAAAAGCTATAGCTGGTGACAATATAGATATCCAGCACCGAGTTGAAACCTCAAGTCACAAAACCGTGTCTTGTACATGTCAACAGCTTTGAAGTGGGGCAATCTTGAAGATGTTACACTGCCGAAAATTGCTTTGTGCTTTTGTTCCAGCTCACCAGCAATGATCCTTTCCCATTTTTTAAGAGCATCATCCCTCGAGTTTTTAAGCCAATCAAATATAGGTTTACTATAATCTATAGCAGAGGGATCTTTCAATCATTCAAAAACATACCCTACAGAAATAGAGCAGTCAATTAGATACTATAATAACAAAAATGTTTCACCACAGGAATGAAGTGAATGAACAGGGTTTCTTACTTCGATAAGGAAATAACCAGAAGGATCATGCAGGCCAGCCTTCTGCATCAGCTGGTCTGTCAAGCAATATATCTTGTCCTTGAGTTCAGACAAGGTTTGGCAGTCCAGGACCAAAAACTCTTGGATCTGCAAAAATCCAAGAAGATGTCAATATCACCAGATGGAAGGGGCAAAAGAACAAATGGTAAAAGGAATAATACTGTAAAAGTCGAATGTTAGCAGCATTATATACTATACTAAGAGAACTTAATTTTCGATGGTTCTTATATGTGCTAGGTAGGTATTTTCATGCATATAATAAAACATTATAGATTTCATCTACTGAAACTATCAGAAATTCAAGCAAGCAGAAGTTCATGATCTTGATGGCTCATAACTCATAAGTAACAAATATAAGTGATTATAAAAAAAGAAAAATAAAAATCCAATACAAACAACTCATGGATTTAGAACATAGAGGCAAAGCACCATACCTTTGACCATTTTTGTATGTTATGGTAGACCTCAACACATAGAACAACTTCTGGGTATAACACTGGTATGTGCTCCTTAACATCCCATGACTTTACCTGTCACTCATCCAAAGGAAACAAGAAAGATTACTTAAGTATCATGTAAAATAAAAACACTACACCGAAGCTTCAGTGCTATGAAATGAGTGCCTCAGCACCTCTTAAAGATTCTCATCCTTGTATTATCTTAAATCACCAGGCAGGAAGGAAATTTTATTCAAACTGTATGGGTAGGCATCTAAAGTTTTGAATTAGAACACAAGTGGAATTTATCATCAATTCAAATTCATCTCTTACAGTAACAAAGTTATTATAAGAATATCAATGTGCTGAATTCCAACCCACAAACTCTTTTTATTGAGAAAGTTCTATTAAAATTCAATTCGTTTGAGTACTTAGCAGTGGATGTCATCTAATGACATAGATAATATATTGTCAAGCGTTCTAGAGTTATCAAAGTATTAAACAAGTCAACAGCAAAATAGAGTCAGAATAAAGAAATGCTTTCTAGGACAAAGGTCGATACAAGTAAAATCTTAAAGCACCCACATCCTCAATTTCAGATTCTCAAAGTTAAATTATAAAACCATTCGCAATAAATACACTAAGAGAATGTTTCAGGCGAACCTTTCTAGACAAATTCTGAGACCAGAGGGATTTCATCCTTTCATTTTTATCGGAGATTGGTATGGCACAATCATTGATCTTGCTGATGGCAGTGAACCAAATTTATAAAAAATAATCAGCAAGAATCAGAAAAGATTTATAAATTAAAGAATGCCGCAGACAGATCTCAATACAAACTTCAAAGAATGCAACCCTGCTGTTGCTTTGTCTTCATCCTACTTTTGTTTAATTTTTGCAAGTTGCTCCACCTTTTTTATATACATATTCTGGAAAAACAACAGCAACAACTTTTTTACTTTGTTAAGAAGGAAAGCGAACAGAGATTATGAGATATGTTTGTGATGGTTCTTTTATTCTTACAAGCAATCCACTTTTAAAGCATATACTAGCCAATAAAGCAATTGATGCAAAAACAGTTTAAATTTAGACTTTACACAGAAGAAAAAAAATGCAAATCATCAAGCAAGTAAATTAAACATTTAGCAAGAATGGTAAACATTTAGAATTTCAAAACATCAAATTCTCAAATTTCAACGTAATTAAAATAAGAATAGAATAATAAACTGTAACAATCAAATCTGATTATATCATAATACTTTAAATAAAAAATTCAATCTGATCACTACCGTATGTCAACAAGACAATTATTTTCTTTCCTTATCTTTCGCTTCTTCAAGGCATTCTTCTTTTCCATTGCATCTCCTTCCAAATCAGTATCACAAGGACTCCCATTTGTGGACTCCATTGAAGTTGAAGTATTCCGTACTCCAGTGCTCTCTACAAGTGCAAGTTTGTTTCCTGACTTTCTACGATCACTGTTGTATAAATTGTACAGGTGAGTAAAACTAAAGCTGAAAGTGGATTGATATAGCTCTAAAAAACATGAAGATCGATATCTATAGCCAAGAAATAAAGAAATAACATAAGGTAAGGGCTTACTCAAGGATAAAGGAAGACGTAGGAAATAAGTATAGAAATCCCAAGATCAGAAATATATTTGAAGAATGCCAAAAGCATTTTTTTTTTTTTTTATTATGAGCTGTATTCCAGATCAACTAAAAAGGCCAAGATGATTGACAAGAAATTAAACGTATAGCTCACCCCAAATTGGAGCCGTTTTCTAAACGTTGAACATTATTTCCAATATGCTCATCCTCCTGCAACGAAACCCATAATTAAAATTTGAAAACAAACTAAACTAGAGCAATACTACTATACCCGTGGTAGTTACTTGACTCTAGCCTTCATTATAATAGCATCACATACCTTAAAAGCTTCCTTGAGAGCCATTTCTGCTAACTCTTCCTCCTTAAGAATTTTAAGGTCATCAACACTGACAAGTGTATAAATTAATAGTAAAAATGAATCAAAATCATAAGATTGGCAAAAATGAGAAGAGAATGCATTGTTTTAAGAACGAAGATACAAAATTAAAAATTTAAACCAGCACTGAAAAAAATAATAATAAAAGGAGTGGAATTGAAGAAGGATACAGTAATACTAACCAAATACCCTCAGCATCAGTTAGTTGAGCTGAAATCAATTCAGCCTCTAATTCCTAAACAAAACCAAAAAAAAAAAAAAATTATACTGAAAACCATAAAGGGCAACGAGATGAGAAGTAACTGTGAAGGCTAAAGGAGAAACTGAAAAAAAAAAAAAAAAGTAACCGATAGCAGAGAACTGTAAAAGATATGATTTTGGAAGAGAAAGTTGGTAATCCAAATGTAAAAGAATTTAGTACCGGAGTTCGTAAAGAGGTGAGTATTGAAACTCAGGTACGGTGGTGAGAGTACTTATGTGATTCGGAATATAAATGGGGCCACCCTTTGGGGTTGAGCAGTGTGCTTCCTCTTCTACCTTGTTCCAATTCGCTACCGTTCTTTTTTCCTTCAAGCTTCTTTTTTCTTCTAATTGTTTAAAAAAAAGAGGGGTGGGGGAGGAATCAATGTTCAAAAATAAATAAATAAATAAATAAGAGAAGTAATAAAGAAGTTAAAAAAATAGGAAATCCAACGAAATTGGATAATGCATGTGGAAACTGAATAGATTAAGAAAGTGTGAAACAAAGAGAGGGGCCAACAGAAAGGAAAAACGGAGGCATGGGCAGTGCGGTTGGGTGGCTTCGGCCTATTTTTTTGGTTCAATTAAGGTTGACGAAGAAGGCCCCAAGTGATCCAAACCAGATGAACTACATTACTAGTTTAGATTGTGACCCAATAGTTGTTTGATTTGGACCCAAATATGTTAGTAGGGGCAGTCAGGCAGAAACATAAACCCAACTATCAACTCTGCCGTCAAAGTAACCTGTCTAGTTTAGTCCAGCTCACCGCACAAACCCTATGTCTAGTTTATAATAATAAGGACCTCATGCAAAACTACATTTACTAGTACGCGTATTGATGAAATAAAACTTGAAATCCCTTAAATAAAATCTGAAACTTTTTGTGCCAATAAAAGTCCCAATCAGCTTAAGCAAATGAGTATCGATTTAACTGTTAAATGCAACACCTTTAAGCTATTCAAAATTAGGGTTTCCACAATCCCCTAATTTCAAAACTTTGTATCATAGAAATCTAATATATAAATAACAAACAGACCAAAACGAAATGATATATTAAGAGCTAGGAAAAACGAAGTTTAAAAGAGAGAGGAAGTGTTAATGTTGGGTTGTTTACTTTGTAGGGCCTATGCCTTGGCAAGGCCTTATAGATTCTATTCCTTTAGTTAAGTATAGATAGGAAGAAGAGTGTTATAATATATCGATTTATAGATCTATTATTAGATATTTATTAAAAAAGTTATTATCAAATTTTTTTTGTTTAAGTGTGATTGATCACTTAATAAAATCCGTTTCATTTAAAAATAAGTCTCAAGATTGATTTAGTTATCTTTTAATAATAAATTCTTATCCACGAAACCAAATTTAAGGTTCAGAGTATAATTACATGTGAAAATTATTATAATACCCTTATAACGCCTATCAAAAGGATAATATCAGTTTGATTTCAAATTATCCAAACTTTAAAATATTTTTATAATTTTACTAAATTATTTAATTATTGGAAACCAATCTTAAATTTGCTCCAATAGTTTGATAATAATTTAAAATAATTTTCTCACCTCGAGTATTCATGAAGATCAATGTCTCACTCTGAAGAAGTTTCGTCGTCGGGTTCATTAATATATTTTTATTCAAGAAAATAATTATTAAAATCTCTCAATAATTTGATAAGATTTACTTTGATGCAGATTTTTTAATAGTTTAGTGAGATTTCTTTATAAATTTATTTTTAGAAAATGAATTAAATCTCCTTATAGTTTGGTAAGACTTAATTTAATATGCAAATTCTCCAATAATTTGATATGATCAAAAAAAATATTTTATTAGCAATAATTTTTTATGATAATTGATTTATGAGATTTTCCAATAGTTTGATAAAATTTATAAAAAAATTTAAATTCATGAAATATTCTCCAATAGTTTAGTAAGATTTATGAATTTTTTTTAAAACATTTTTTTGTTATTATTTTTTATAAAAATAAATAAGTAAAATAAAATTTGTAAAGGTAAAAAAAAAAAATATTGTTCAACTTAAAATAAGAATAATAATAATAATAATAATAATAATAATAATAATAATAATATGTAAAATAAAAGAAATCTAAAAATAAATAAAAATGAAAACGAAAAATAAAATGAAAAAAAAAAAAGAAAACTTATAAAACATGTTGGACCTGGAAACGGGTCACGCATGGATTTTCATAGGTTATGTGGAACCTCTTATACAAAATGATGTCGTTTTCTGTGGGTATAGAAGCCCAATTTTCAAGCTTTCCTTTAATTTGTCTTAAACATTTTCTCTCTAATTTTTTTTTTGTTTTATTTCTCTAAAATCACAAGTTTCAATTACCAAAAAGTGGGTTTAATCATCGATTTTTTGAAAACTCACTAGAATTTGACCAAAAACTTCAACTTTGGCCAAAAACTTCAATCGAAAAATTCAAATGTTATTCCCAAACCCAGATTTTTAGATTTTTTTAGAAAAAATAATTTTTCTAAATAAAACCAGTAATCAAATCCTTATGATACGTAACCCTAGAAGCAATTTTCACATAAAAAAAAAACTCATAACTGCAAAAATCTATTAGCAAAAAAAATTTTCATCATGTTAAAAGCCTTTTTTTCTCTCCCCTCTCTGTGTGATTTAGGGTGATCTTTATAGGCTTTTTTAATCAAAATTTTAGGGCTTTAATTGAATAGATCAAATCTGCCATATTTGATTAGAATTTTATTAATTAAGAAAAAATCAATCCTGTCAAATTTAATCTCATTTACTACATGATTTGATTCAGAGCTTTGATTGTAATTAACATATAATTTTGTTTCCAATTTTTAGCTTCTTACAGGATTGACCAAAAAACTTGATTTCATTTCCTTTTTTTTTTTTTAAGGTTTTTATAAAATAGATAAAACAAAAAAAATAAAAATAAAATAAATAAATAAATTACTAGGTGATAGCCTATATTAAAGTAACCCGAACAAAAAAAAGCCTTTAGTAGTTGGGCTCAAAATCTAAATTACCTATTAGAGTAGGCTTAGTCGAAACCTAAAAGGTTCGATAGACGTTTCAAAGGCCTAACTATCCTGACAATCAAAAATTTTGTGCAAACCTAGACGAAAAAGGGTGTCTACAGCTATCCCTATTTGTATATTTCTATTAAATATGAATGATGTAAAGATAAGGACAACCATTAAGTCCGATCCAAGAACCTTCTAAACAGAGGCATGCATTTTAAAAAAAAAAATTTTAATTCCTCTAAACAGAGGCTAAACAATTTTAAAACGAGAATATGTTCCTTTAAACAAAAGCCAAACAAATTTAAAATGAGAATGGGCTCCTTTATTCAGAGGTTAAACAATTTTAAAAATAAGAAATAGGCTTATTTATTCAGAAGCTAAATAACTTTAAAATAGGGAACAGACTTCTCTGAGCAAAGGCTAAACAACTTTAAAATAAGAAATAGACTCATTTATTTAAAGGCTAAATAACTTTAAAATAGGAAATGAGCTCTTTCATTCAAAGGCTAAACAACTTTAAAATAGCCTTTTAACCAGAGGCGAGGATTTAGAATAGCCTACCTCGATGATCCTTTCTCCGTCATGATCAAAATCTTTGCATTCATTTTCTTTATGTTGGATTTAGGATGTTATTATATAGAATGAATGTCCATGAATGCAATACATGTAGTGCAAATGAATTATCAATTATGGTACACAGATCCTTAAGATTTTTTTTTTATTCGAACCCTTCATGTCTTCAACAATAGGAATAAAATCAACTCCATTCTCAAAATTGACATTCGTATTTTGGAATAAAAGTTTGTACCGGGTTTTGAAAGTTTTATCTCTTGCCTACATACCTTTCACCTCTTTTAATGTAATACATAATAGTCTATGATATTAATCAATTATCAACCGTTATCCCAAGTTTATGACATATAAGATACAAATCACACATTTCTCTTATTTATTGCAAAGCATTTAAAAAGAAAATGCATAAATTGAAAGTGAAATATAAATAATGAACATTTTTATTTGAAAAAGAAAGTAGGTTACAAATGATGACCATTTGGGATAATTTTGTTAATTGGATATAGTAAAGGTAAACAAGGATTATTGTTTGGGACAACAATGCTCCAAAATAAACATTCAAATAATCATGATAACAAATCCCATATTCTTTCTAAAAACTCAATCATGCCATGCCCTCAGTACTTTAGAATTCTTTGAAACATACTCGTTTTCATTTCAGACTTCATGATCCTCAAACAATATTGTACTCATCTTATCTAAATCATTTTTTTAGGTTTTCAACTTAGATAAACCCCTATTTAGTACAAATCGTCCTTTCGGATTTTTTATTTAAAGTACTTTTTTGTAGTATCAAAATTTATGGGATTAAAAAAATCATCTCCATCTATCTCTGTTAAGATCAATGCTTCTCTTGAAAAAACCCTTTTTACAACATACGACCTTTCCTAATTTGGTGTCCACTTTTTTTTGTTATCATGTTAGTTTGAAAGAATTCTTTTTAGAACCAACTTTTCTTCTCGGAATTAGTGAGGTCAAACCTTTTTATCATGAGCTCTCATCATTTTTTTTTTGGTATAGTTGACCATGATATAAGGCTACCAATCTCTTGTCTTCAATGAAATTCAGTTACTTATAACAGTCTTAAACCCATTTAGTTTTTTCTATCCCTACTTCTCGTAAAACCCTCAGAGATAAAATTTTTATTGGTAATACAACCTTCATTCTATAAACGAAAGAAAATGAAGTTGCCTTAGTAGAAATGTGTATTATCGTTCGATAAGCATGTAAAGCAAAAGGTAATTTTTCATGCTAATCTTTATACATCTTAATCATTTTCTCCAAAGTCTTTTTTATATTCTTATTTATAGCTTCTACTGCTTCATTCATCTTTGGACGATATGGTGCTGAATTTTAAACTTAGCACATATTTTTATATCATATTGTTATTCAAATTCTTAGCATTATCTGAGATAATCCTCTCAGAGAGTCCATATCTGCATATTATCTTTCTCTTGTTAAACTTGTAAACTACTGATCACGTCACACTTGCATACCTCAACCCATTTTGTGAAATAATCAATCATCACAAAATTGAATTCATTCCCATTTAATGCTTTTAGAGTAATAGGCCCAATGACATCTATACCTCACACAGATAACGACTAAAATGGTGTCAAAATATGTAAAGCAGTAAGCGAAACATGTATCTTGTCAGTACATATATAACATTTATAACACTTTTGAACATAATCAATGTAATCAGCTTTCATTGTTAACCACTAATATCTAACTCTCATAATCTATCTCGTCATTATGTTTTCATTTGCATATGCTTCACACACTCCATCATGCACATCTTCAATAATTTTTTTTGCTTCAGTTACATCTACACATCATAATAACACCTGATCTTTACTTCTTTTATAAAGAACCTCTCCATTTAAGAAAAATCTCATAGCCAATCTCCTTAAGACTCTTTTATCACTTTTTGTTGCCAGATCTGAGTATTGTTGACTCTTTAAATATTGTAGGATATCATGATACTAAGGCTTTCCATCTTTTTCCTCTTCCATATTGGTGCAATGTATTAGCATGTCTTTAACATTTAGCTTGCTGGGCTGAATCTCAATATTGTTATCAACCCGAATCATCGCAACCAAAGTGGCCAAGGCATCTGCAATTTAATTTTTTCATGAGACAAATGTTCAAATTGGACTACTTCGACCTGCTTGTGCAATTCCAAAATGTACTTATGATTTAGGATAAGTTTCGAATATCCTATCTCTCATTATCTCTTCAATTGATAGATAACTAATGTTAAATCCTCGAACACTTTCAGTGTTTTAATTTTTTTATTTAAAGCAACTTGTAAACCCATAACACAAGCCTCATATTCAACCACATTATTGGTGCAATTGAAGTTTAACCTTGCTGTGACATGATAATAACGTCCCTCAAGAGATATTAGAATTGCCTTAGTTTATGCCCCAAGGCATTAACAGCCCCATCAAAGTACATTCTCCATGACTTCTCATTATCTTATTTCTCTAATTTTGAAACAACCATTAACTCTTCATCTGAAAAATCAAATTTTATTGGCTTATAGCTTTCAAAAGCACGTTCTGTAAAGAATTCTACGATGACACTTCCTTTAATTGCCTTTTGACTCATGTACATAATGTCGTACTCTGAGAGCATTACTTGTCACCTTGCAATCCTTCCTAATAATGATGGTTTCTCAAAAATGTACTTAATTGGGTCTAGTTTAGCTATAAATAAAGTGGTATGGTAAAGCATATACTGCCTGAGCCAATTAGCTGTCCAAGACAATATACAACATATTTTCTCTAATAATGAATACTTTGACTCATATTCTATGAACTTTTTACTTAAATAGTAGATTACTTTTTCTTTTCTACTAGAGTCATTTTATTACCCAAACACATATCCCATCGACTTCTCATATATAATTAAATACAGAATTAATGGTCTCTTTAGAATATGTGATACTAGCACTAATAGGTATTGCTTAACCTTATCAAAAGCTTCTTGACATTCTCCATTCCTTTCACGAGGGCTGTTCTTTTGAAGGAGCTTAAAGATAAGGTCACATTTGAAGGTCAGTTGGGAAATGAATCTAAAAATGTAGTTCAATCTACCTCAAAAACCTCGGACTTCTTTTGGCATACTTGGAGGAGATAAATTTTGGATATCCCTTATTTTGTCTGGATCAACTTCAATTTTCTTTCACTAACCACGAAGCCTAGCAACTTCCCCAACTTGGCTCTGAATGAATATTTGGATGGATTTAACTTGAGCTAAAAATTTTTAGCCTCTCAAACAATTTTCTAAGGTTAGCTATATGGTCTTCTCTTTCACGAGACTTTATGATCATATTATCTACATACACCTCGATCTCTTTATGCATTATGTCATGAAAGAGTATCACCATAGTCCTTTAATATATTGTTTTAGCATTTTTTAATCCAAAGGTCATGACCTTGTAATAAAATGTACCCATATAGTTACAAATGTGATTTTTTCCATTTCATCTTGTGCCATTTTTATTTGATTATAACCTAAAAATCCATCCATAAAAGAAAACACAAAATGTTGGACTGTATTATCCACCAATGTATCAAAATGAGGTAGAGAAAAATTATCTTTCGAGTTAGCCCTATTCAAATCATGATAATCTACACATAATTGTACCTTTTTATCTTTCTTAGGAATAGGTACTACATTAGCCACCCACTTAGGATATTTGGCCATTTGTAGAAATCCTGCTTCACACTGTTTCTTCACTTTCTCTTTGATCTTCAAGAGTATCTCAGGTTTTATCCTACTTAATTTTGTTGAACAAGCCTACATTCGGGCTTAAAGGGTAGCTTATGTTCTACTATTTCAGTATTAAGCCCTGGTATATCCTGATAAGACTAGGCAAACATATTTACAAATTCTCAAAGTAGATTCTTTAACCTTTGTTTATCAGTAAATGAAAGCAACATGCCAATCTTAACTTCCTTTTTGTTCTCATTATCCCTTAAATTGATCTTCTTAATAGTTTCCTAATGGGGCTCAATAGATATATTCTCATATTCAATCAGTCTCATTAGATTCGAAAATAAAGTATATTCTTCATAGTCATATTTCTCCGTTTATTAGGAAGCAACCACAGGGATGTGTCTACATGCGGTGTCCTCCACTCTATTGGTTCAGATCTCACACGCGTGAGGGGACGATCTGACATAAACCAAAATGGTTCAATCAGGAGTGAACAGACAATCTCGAAGACCAGGGATAATGGAAACACCCCCATCAGCAGGGCTGATGCTAGTGCCAAATTGAAATCATTCTTGTTTCCTACTTCATAGCAAGTTTTTACTCTGATTTGACAAGTATTTTACAGAGTGACTAAGAGGTTTCCCTTGTAATTATCAGCCAGTTGTTTCAAGAGAGAGCTTTGTCCTAGGAGGTGAGAACATTAGAGTGAATGAAAACTGCGATGAGCTAGACACTGTCGTGTATAGTAGACAATCCCACAATAAGCAAGGCAGGAAAGCAAGCATGGTATGCTTTAAATCCATTGTAGTTTACTGACTGCATGAAGCTCCAGCAGTGGTTAAAATTCTACGCTTCCTCGTACGTTGGCTCTTACCATTTTTATTCTTTGGCAGGTGAAGGAGCCTATACTTCAGTACATGAAGCGCCAGAAATCTCAGGTTGTTTGAAAGGCATGAGGAATGTGATGCTAATGCGTGAACCAAACTCAAAATTGCTTGGTGAATTTCCTTAATAAGCAAATCATAGACAAGTTACTTCCTTTTTTTCAGATAAGTAATAATTTCATTATCCAAGAATTAGTAAGTCACTGCTGCCAAATGACAGTTACAGAAGCATCAAATGCAACAATTCAGGAAATTACTATGCAAACATATAGTTACTTAGACACCATCTCTCACGTGCCTCCTTATTAATATGATGGAAAGCACCATTCTTTAATCCGGCCAATCTCATTCTGACAACATCCTAGATCCATCCTAGATCTGCCTCAAAACCAGCTCTCGTCAGCCTTTTATTCCTTTCCTGCCAGATCAGATAAATGTAAGCCCCCCAAGTCAAACGCAATAGAACAGATACTAGTGCCTTTACTCGAAGTCTGCCAACAGCCCATCGAAGTTCATCTTCCCAATCAGCTACTTCCTTATGCAGGTTGCAAAGATGCAGAATTGAACTTGCTGCCATACAAACTTAGAATATCTGCAACTGAAGAAAATGTGATTCCTATTCTCCATCTCCTGCCTGCATAAAACACAATCCCCATCAGTAGAAATCCCCCAAGAGATCAGCCTAACCTTAGTAGGGAACCTATTAAGGATGGTCATCCACGCAATGATAGCATGCTTGGGAAAATGAAGTTTGCACCTGATAAGCCTGTGCCAGCAACCTTCATCTGCTTAGGCCGTAGCTCATCCCAGACGATGACAGTGGAGTAGCCAGAGCCATAAGTGGTTCGAACTACTCCATTCTGTCTGTTGCAAGAATCTGGAAGCAATGTTCCTTATCTGAAAATCACTTTTTCTCTTGTTGAATTTCATTAATTGATTCTGCTATTTTCTGAATTGAAATTTATAATTCTGGCTTTTTCCGAAATCCTCTCGTTTCCTTCAATTTTCTGATGTAACGATTAATTGAAATAACTGCAGGTAGATGAGGCTGCACACAAATTTTATGAGCATGCACCACCAGCAGCTAAGCAAGTGGTAAGCCAAGCCCAAGATTTGGTTCACAAGGCAGCACAAAAGGCTCAGAAACTAATAGACGAGGCTCGAACCAATGGACCGCGAGGAGCTTTGCACTACGCTGCAGCAGAGTACAATCAGTTTCTTCTCGTGAACTTAACCAAGTTGTGGGTTAAACTGAATCACACCTCAGCTTTCCACTCGGTGGCAGAGAAGGTTGTTCCTACAGCTGCTAATTTGTCTGAGTTTTACTGTTTTGGGCATGTAGAGGCAATGTGGATGTTATAAATGGCTGGCCATTGTAAATTGTATGCTTATGTTAACTCTTTGCAACGTTCATCTTCCAATGGTTTCACATTATTCCTGCATCGATGAAAACATAATAAAGTAATTACTTCAAGATTGGATACAGTAATTTGTATGTTTACTTTTCATTTAGTGTCTCCGTTGATCTGGAACCACTCTTCTAAGGAATTCGTTTTGCAACCATTAGTTTGCATCACTCTTTGTTAAATAATTGAGAATGACATCTAAAACTTCTGTGGAAGCAATACATTCTAATTCACAGTTTTCAAAGAATAATGGCAAATGGTTAGCATAGAGAAAAAAAAATTATCATTTCTTGAGAATGTTTTTCAGCAGATTCAGGTTAAAGCTGGATGCAATTTTCTACTCGTCCTCTCATATAAAGAGCAAAAGGCAGCCTTTGAAATTGAACTAATTACATGACATTTCCTTCATTCCAAAATTCTAAGCATCATAGAGAGTGCAAATAAGTTGGGAAGGGAAAGTCAGGATACTGATTAGCAAGTCTACAATCATGATTATTAATCCATTAAAAACCCAGTGCAAAGTATTGCAATGTAGAGAAAGAGCACTTCGAAAACGATAATTAAGTTCTATCACTGTGTGGAAACCAGATTTGCTAAAACTGTCTATTATATTTCAATAAGCCTGGAATTTTGGTTCAAACCAAACAGAGTTTTGACTTAAGCCAAATCAATAAAACTTTCTCCGTCCCAACGATCTAAAATCTAAATCGGTCCTAAAATGTCAATGTCATGATTAGAGCATTAAAATCCCAGCCTTCATATAGAAATACAAAAACCATTCTCATTCTCCAATGGCTCATAAACAATTTATTGCAAAAAAAAAAAAAAAAACTAGCCACACACAAAATCCAACAGCTAGTGAATAATCAAAACTCCGTTTCGTTTGGAGGAGGAGGCATAGCTGTCCTCAAGAAGGTCATCATAAGGATCCCTGCGGCCGGGAGCTTGGCTAATCTGAGCATCCCTAAAGAGCTGGGAATTGTGGCGCTCAAAAGTCCAAAATCCATAAGGTCGCAGAGGATAACTCCACATCTCTTTGGTTTTTTGGCATCGATCCTTCCTCATGTAAAGGCGCTCCCTAAATTTTTTATCCCTCTCCTTTGGGTCCTCCATCATCCTCAATACCAAATTCTCTGCAAATTCCATTATGAAACCCATTTTCTTCTCTTCTCTTCAAGAGTTGAAACCCTAAATTTAACAAATAACTCAATCAAAAATATATATCAAAGCTGAAGCAAAAAAAAATCAATGTCTAATTTAATACTGCAATTAATCAAATCGAATGGCTACATGATGATTTAACAAATGAGTAAGAGAGAACCTGTTTGAAGATCAACTGGCCAGTAGCAGTCTTCAATTTGCCAAGGAAAGATAAAGAATGGCAAATGCATTATAGGCGCAGAGTAATTAAGAGCCAAACTTGGGCCAAGCCTCAAGAACTCTGGATGCTGTTGTTAGTATTCAGGCCTAGATTCTTCAGATAATGGGCGGCTTTGATTAGATCAGATTAAAAGGTTGAACTAAGCCCTCTGGACCCTAACATGGGCGAAGGCCCCAAAATACTACAATGTCTATAATATTAAGGCCCTTTCAACTTTTAGTGTCAACAAAAAAAAAATGCCCCCTATTTCTATTTTGATTTTTTATTATTAACATATAATAAATTAATAACTTGTCTAAATTAATTTTCTGTTGAGATTAAATGCCCATTTGGACCACCGTACTTTCGATGCAGTGTGATTAACCTTATTTTACTATCAGTTAAATCCAAATACTAATTCTAGTAAAGTCAAATTAGTATAAATTTTTTATTAAAATTTTGTTTTCAATTGCAACTACAATTAATTTGTTTTTTTCAATCATAGTTATAATAAATTTTATTACTGTCTTAAATCTCACTATCTATCCAAATGGAGCCTAAGTCTTAATGGCTTAAAGATGTAATGTGCTAAAGCATTTGCAGACTAAAGGGTACAGGTTTCCCTCATTTCCACTAGGGGATGAAAGGCAAGAATTTACTTTTTTTTGGCAGCATTACAATGAATTTTACATTGGACATCTTCTAATCATGTACATAATGATATACAGAAAATTCGCCATATAGATGACACTCATCATCATTGGAGTGAAGAAGGGAATAGCAATAATCACAGAAATAACAAGGACTCTCCCTCGCCCACTTTTCATCTGCAGTTACTTTTGTACCTCTGTTAATCTTACATCTATTGCATTTCTCAGCACGCGGTTTTAGTTGAAAGATGATTATTGGATAAGCTGCTCCATTTTTTGTACATCCTCTGGTTGAATCAACCTCATGTCCCTAATCACGATTGTATATTTGCAGTCACCAACATACATCATACAGCATTATCATCATCTCATACCAGATAGAAATTCATGATTCTCAGAAAAAACAAACTGATAAGATGGATAACTCTACTTTTGAAGTTACTGTAAAATGAGGAAGCATAAAAAGCTATACCCGGTGACAATATAGATATCCAGCACCGAGTGGAAGCCTCAAGTCACAAAACCGTGTTTTGTGCATGTCAACAGCTTTGAAGTGGGGCAATCTTGAAGGTGTTACATTGCCTAAAATTGCTTTATGCTTTTGTTCCAGCTCACCAGTAATGATCCTTTCCCATTTTTTAAGAGCATCATCCTTGGAGTTTTTAAGCAATTAAATATAGGTTTACTATATAATCTATAGCAGAGGGATCTTTCAATCATTCAAAAACATATCCTACAGAAATAGAGCAGTCAATTAGACACTATAATAACAAAAATGTTTCACCACAGGAATGAAGCAAATGAACAGGGTTTCTTACTTCGATAAGGAAATAACCAGAAGGATCATGCAGGCCAGCCTTCAGCATCAACTGGTCTGTCAAGCAATACATCTTATTCTTGGGTTCAGACAAGGTTTGGTGGCCTAGGACCAAGAACTCTTGGATCTACAACAATCCGAGAAGATGTCAATATCAGCAGATGGGAGGGGCAAAAGAACAAATGATAAAGGAATAATACCGTTCAAGTCGACTGTTTGCATCATTCTATATTACTAAGAGAACTTAATTTTCCATGGTTCTTATATATGCTCGATAGGTATTTTAATGCATATAATAAAACCTTATAGATTTCATCTACTGAAACTATCAGAAATCCAACCAAGCAGAAGTTCATGATCTTGATGGCTCATAACTCATAAATAACAAATATAAGTGATTATAAGAAAAGAAAAATAAAAATCCAATACAAACAACTAATGGATATAGAACTTAGAGGCAAAACACCATACCTTTGACCATTTTCGTATGTTATGGTAGACCTCAACGCATACCACAACGTCTGGGTATAACACTGCTATGTGCTCCTTAACATCCCATGACTTTACCTGTCATTCATCCAAAGGAAACAAGAAAGATTACTTAAGTATCATGAAAAATAAAAACAGTATGCCGAAGCTTCAGTGCTAAGAAATGAGTGCCTCAGCACCTCTTAAAGATTCTCATCCTTGTATTATCTTAAATCACCAGGCAGGAAGGAAATTTTATTCAAACTGTATGGATAGGCATCTAAAGTTTTGAATTAGAACACAAGTGGAAGTTATCATCAATTCAAATTCATCTCTTAAAGTAACAAAGTTATTATAAGAATATCAATGTGCTGAATTCCAACCCACAAACTCCTTGTGTTGAGAAAGTTCTATTAAAATTCAATTTGTTTTAGTACTTAGCTGTGGATGTCATCTAATGACATAGATAAAATATTCTCAAGCGTTCTAGAGTTATCAAAGTAGTAAAGAAGTCAACAGCAAAATAGAGTCAAAATAAAGAAATGCTTTCTAGGAGAAAGGTCGATACAAGTAAAATCTTAAAGCACCCACATGCTCAATTTCAGATTCACAAAGCTAAATTATAAAACCATTTGCAATAAATACACTAAGGAACCTTTCAGGCAAACCTTTCCAGACAAATTCTGAGACCAGAGGGATTTCATCCTTTCATTTTTATCGGAGATTGGAATGGCACAATCATTGATCTTGCTGATGGCGGTGAACCAAATTTATAGAAAACAATCAGCAAGAATCAGAAAAGATTTATAAATTAAAGAATGCCGCAGACAGATCTCAATACAAACTTCAAAGAATGCAACCCTGCTGTTGCTTTGTTTTCATCCTGCTTTTGTTTAATTTTTGCAAGTTGCTCCACCTTTTTTATACACATATTCTGGAAATTCAACAGCAATAACTTTGTTCCTTTGTTAAGAAGGAAAGTGAACAGAGATTATGAGATATGTTTGTGATGGTTCTTTTATTCTTACAAGCAATCCACTTTAAAAGCATATACTAGCCAAGAAAGCAAATGATGCAAAAACAGTTCATATTTAGACTTTACACAGAAGAAAAAAAATGCAAATCATCAAGCAAGTAAATTAAACATCTAGCAAGAATAGTAAACATTTAGAATTTCAAAACATCAAATTCTCAAATTTCAACGTAATTAAAATAAGAATAGAATAATAACCTGTAACAATCAAATATGATTATATCATAATACTTTAAATAAAAAATTCAATCTGATCACTACCGTACATCAACAAGACAGTTATTTGCTTTCCTTATCTTTCGCTTCTTCAAGCCATTCTTCTTTTCCATTGCATCTCCTTCCAAATCAGTATCACAAGGACTCCCATTTGTGGACTCCATTGAAGTTGAAGTATTCCGTACTCCTCTGTTCTAAACAAGTGCAAGTTTGTTTCCTGACATTCTACGATCACTGTTGTATAAATTGTACAAGTGAGTAAAACTAAAGCTGAAAGTGGATTGACATAGCTCTCAAAAACATGAAGATCGATATCTATAGCCAAGAAATAACATAAGGTAAGGGCTTACTCAAGGAAAAAGGAGGACGTAGGAAATAATTATAGAAATCCCAAGATCAGAAAACATATTTGAAGAAAGCCAAAAGCTTTTTTTTTTTTTTTTAATATGAGCTGTATTCTAGATAAACTAAAAAGGCCCAGATGATTGACAAGAAATTTAACAGAGAGCTCACCCCAAATTGGAGCCGTTGTCTAAACGTTGAACAGTATTTCCAATATGCTCATCCTCCTGCAACGAAACCCATAACTAAAATTTGAAAACAAACTAAACTAGAGCAATACTACTATACCGGTTGTAGTTACTTGACTCTAGCGTTCATTATAATAGCATCACATACCTTAAAAGCTTCCTTGGGAGCCATTTCTACTAACTCTTCCTCGAGAATTTTAAGGTCATCAACACTGAAAAGTATATAATTAATAGTAAAAATGAATCAAATGTTAGGAAAATAAGATCCAACTTTATGTAATTGGTTTTGGATCAATCAAAAATTTAGATTTTTATCTTTCTTTTTATACGGAGCCTTAACTACTTAATAAAAAGATATGAAACTATTTTAAAATGGTGTCACAAACTAAGAAAAGAAAGAAGAAAAGCCAAAAAAAAATAGAGAAAAAAGAAAAAAGGGAGAGTTGGTTGAACGGAAGTCGATCCATATCTGATTGAGCTTAAATTTTATCAGTAAGTTTATGATTTAGAGTTTTACATTCTGAACAGTAAATATCGGATTTAAAGCTCTCTAAGAACAAATCTAAGGTGTATTTATTTGGTAATCTATTTGATGAGATTTTTTCAATTATCTCTCTAGTTATTTATTAACTCTAGTTTTAGCTAGATAATAACTTTGTATATCCATTATTTGATAGTGAAGATTTTTTTCTCTACACTGGAGGGTTTTTCATGTAAATCTTGGTGTGTTTTATTTTTCTTGCATTATTGATTGTTGATTGTTGTCTATTATTGTGGGTTTATTACGATATATTACTTCTGCGTTGTTGTATTTATTGCTTCAGGCCTAACAAGTGATATCAGAGCGAGGGTTATTTTGAAATAACGATACAGAAATAGCTCAAGATAGAAGTAAATTATGTTTGAGATCATGAAGGGTGATATAGGTTTCATGATAAAATTGACAATATCAAATTATTCAATTTGGAAGCCTATGATAGAAGATCATTTATACTGTAAATATTTGTATGAGCCGATATTAGGTGATTCAGCTAAACCAACAGATATGAAAGATAAAAGCTAAAAAAAATTAGGTTGAAAGACGCTGGCTATAATAAAAAAATAAGTTGATATCAATTTGTTTCATCATGTAGCGCAGAAGACAGATGTTCACATTATTTGAAAAAAATTGACAGCATTGTATGAGAGAAAAATAAGTATGAATAAAGTTATGCTTGTTAAAAAGCTTGCAACTTTACAGTATAGGGATGATCGATCGATTATAAAGCACTTGAGAGATTTTCAAGACATATTTAATCATATGACTATTATAGAGCTTAAGATAGATGATGAAATGAAGGCATTATTTCTTTTGAGTTTATTGCTAGACAGCTGAAATACTCTATTGTGATTGTTCTTAATTCTGTTGGAATATAATTCACATAGGAGTAAAGAATTTTATATCATTAGAAAATCTAAATGAGATGTCTTGTATATGCATTAAGGACCTAAAAACCTAATAACTTAAGCTTTTGGGCTTAAGTGGTATCCAACATGTATGTATGGGCTCTCTGATGTGCTCTCACAAGTTTCAAGTGTGATTTATCTCTCCAATAAGTGATATTAGAGCCAAAATTACGGTGGGTTCAAGTCTCAGTAGTGTTGCTGAAAGGGAAATTATTGACAGATTAGAGGTTAACTGTGTCCATCAACTTCATGTGCTTAAACATCGGTACTAAAAAGTTTGACTTAGATGCAACAAGTATATGATAATATGCAGAAGCAGAATACCCAAGTAGGCAATATGTTAAATCAATTTAAAGCGTAAGCATAAGGGAGTACTAAGACAACCTATGTGGTAAGATTGAGTGTTATGGTTTGCCTCAAAAGTACACTAAAGATGTAAGGTTGCTTGACCCAAAGGAAGTGTTGATAAGATTTACTCACACGGGGGAACTAAGATAGGACTTGATCAGAACTCATAAGTAAACGAGAGAGATTGTTGGGATATAATTCATATGTGAGTAAAGAATCTCATATCATTAGAAAATCTAAATGAGATATCCTATACATACATGAAAGACCCAAGCTTAAGCTTTTAGACTCAAGTGGTGTCTAACATATATGTGTGGGCTCTCTGGTGTGCTCTCATAGACTCTAAGTGTGGTTTATCTCTCTAATAAATTCAGTTTTTAATTATAAGGTGACATTGAAAATGGTAAAAGATAATATGCTTAATAAATAAGCAAGATGAAAAGATGTAAATCCTAAGAATCAAGCTCTAGTCACAGAGAATAGGGGTAAAAATATCGATAAAAGTCAGAACTCAAAAGGTCATAGTAAGTCTAAACATAGTTACAAGTCTAGAAATAAAATGAAGTCTTTCCATTGTGATAAAGCAGGTCATATAAAATGACACTGTAAAATCTTGAAGCAAGCGTGAAAAGATGAGAAAGGCAAGAGTTCAGATGATGGCAATATTGTAGCAGTAAATTGAGATGGTGATTTAGTTACTTTGATTTGTACACATGGTGATTGTAATCATGTTGATGATCCCGACGTTAAATAGATAGTTGACATAAGAACAGTATATCATTGTGTTCTTAAGAGAAAGTTGTTTACAACTTACAAAGTAAGAGATTTTGGTTACACCAAGATGAAAAATAATAGTGTCGTAGATTATTGGGATTGGTGATATTGTTGTACAACTAGTACAGGCTACATGTTAACTTTAAAAGAGTCAGACACATTTCAGATATGATAATGAACTTACTTGCTATTAATGTCTTTGATAAAGAAATATATGAAAGTCGACAAAAAAATGAATAGTGAAAGCTTCTCAAAGGATCTATGGTAATTGTAAGGGAAAAACTATGTTGCACAATGTATAAGACATGGATACAATTGAATGATAACCAGATAAATACCATTGAGGATGATGCTTCAGTAAACTTCTGGCATAAGAGGCTGGCACACATGAATAAGAAAATGTTATAGGTTTTGGCAAGATAGTCTCTCATTCCCTTGACCAAAGTTGTCCTTTAATTCATGTGATCATTATTCATTTGGTAAGCATCTTAGAGTTTTTTTTTTGTAAAAGTTTTTAAAGAAAAAAAAATAAAGTGAAATTAATTTATTCTGACGTATGTGGTCCCATTAAGGTTAAGTTATTAGGTGGTAGCAAGTATTTTGTTACTTTTATTAATGATGCTTCACATAAGACTTAGGTGTATATGTTGAAAAATAAAAATCAAATATTATAGTATTTTTAAAAGTTTTATGCCACGGTGAAAAAAATAATAGGGTTACCTTTGAAGTGTATTCGAACTAATAATGGTGAAAAATACACATGCAAAAACTTTAAAGAGTATTGTTCAAAACATGAGATCAGGCATGAGATGATAGAACCTAGAATACCGTAGCACAATAATGTAGCTAAAAGGATAAACTGCACCATTACGAAAAAAGTCAGATGTATGTTGATGATGACAAAATTATCAAAGCCATTCTGGGGTAAAGCAGTCAACATAATTTGTTATTTATTTAACAAATCACCATCAGTTCTTTTAGGTTTTAACATTTCAGAAAGAATGTGGACAGAAAAAAATGCTTCATACTCTTATTTAAAAGTTTTTGAATGTAAAGCATTCATGCATGTGCTAAAACAGCAGAGGTCAAAACTTGATAGTAAAGTCATACAGTATGTGTTTGTAAGATATAGTGATGAAAAATTTAACTATAAGGTATGGGATCCAATGAAGAGAAAGACAGTCAAAAGTAAAGATGTGATCTTTCATAAAAAAAATAATAGTAGACTTTGAGAAAAATAAAAAGATTACACGGATTACTGTTGAGTGTGATGTTTCAACACCGATAGGAGTTTCACAGGAAAAAGTCACAGATGGTAAAAATGAGTAAAAAATAAAACTTAAAGATATGAATGAGCCAGTCATAGTTAGTGATGAGCCAGATGTAATCAGTTTTAAGTAAGAAAAATAATTTTTTCCACCAAAGAGTGTTGAGCAAAGAGGGTTACCTTCGACATCGAGTGGTATAGAGTTTCAGCCTAAAAGATCTACTAAAGAGCACAGGCCATCTATCAGGTATCCAAGTTTATATTTTATTTTAGTTATCAGTGAAAGAGAGCTAGAGAGCTTTCAAGATGTACATGCTACATCGAATAGAAAGTACTGATGAAAAGTAACAAAAAAAGAGATTGAGTCATTACGAAA